GTAGTATTCTAAGTTCTTTACTTCTCATATATCATTCAATTCCAATAAGAAATAAAAATTAAACAAAAACAGCTTTTTGTTAAAAAGTGATCAACAATTTTTAATGTCAAAGAAACCCATTTGTCTATCCACATAAGTGCATCTACTTCTTATAACTTGCTCTAACATCTATATGTTATTGTAAACAAAAGTCAGAGATCAGTATAAATTTGTGTGGAACACTGTGTTTTTCTAGGAAAAAAAAATTAACTAATAGGATAAGAAAACCCAAAGAATTCCAGCTGATTTTCTTAATAAATGTCTAGTCAGATATGCATTTAACTAAGTTATTGCCCTTTTTAGACAACTCAGAATTCATACCATTGATCACTACTGGTCGTTGCCTCTAGTAAAGTCTGATAGGCAAGTTCCATTAATTTCTGCACAGATTCACTGATGCGACATGCAGGCAAAGAAAAGGAATGTTGGTCCAATGTATTTTCAGGCTCTAAATTCACCACTTCATTGTACTGAGGTTTGGATGCTTTCTGTACTTTTAGCTTGTTATCCTCATCAGGACTGGGTAAGTCTGGCACACTTATCTTAGAATCAGGAGTAATCTAAGATTCAAACATAGAAACATAGAAAATGTATTGTTTCCAGAATAATTCAAATGTAAACATACAATGAGGAATAAGACACTAGTTGTTTCTATGACGATAAAGCTACAGCTCTACAGAGTAATTAAAAGATTTGAGTAAATATGACAGTATTTTACTGACTGCTCAATCTTGGATGAAAGCATGTTGTAAGAAATAAGCAAACCCCTTTACTATGAAATTCTTCCAAACACTCTTAATCTTGGTTTAAACAGCGAAGCTGTGCAACAGGCCTAAGATTTCAGGTAAATGAAAAGACCTTCAAAAATCATCTTTCAGAGCCAAGTAAGGTGGCTCATCCCTATAATCCCAGCTACCCAGGAGGCCGAGTCAGGAGGATCACTTGAGGCCAGGAGTTTAGGCTCAAGATCAGCCTAGGTAACATAGCAAGAGTCTGTCTCTAAAAAAATGAAAAAAAAAAAAAAATAAGCCAGGCATGGGTGGCATATGCCTGTAGTTCTAGCTGCTCAGGAGG